CCTGCCCATGAATGGGTTGTCTCACAGTGGTAGCCTCACTGTAGCCAGCCTGAGGCCTGGGTCCTTAGCAACATAGAAGATGTTTGCCCTGTAAGAGCTGTTTTCAGAAAGGTTATAATCACTGCCTGTGTCTGTTTTCGTTTCTACAACCTACAGTTTGAGTGTTTTTCTGGTTTCAGAATGCGAAGAAAAGTCAGCAAGCCAGCGTAAGCTGGTTTGGATTTGGGCTTTCCGTTCAAACCTTATCTTTGCTGTGACCTAATGCAACATCTTAGCAAATCTGGAGTATAACAAGCTTCTCCAAAGAAAAGAAACTTCTCCAGAGAAATCCTGCACCTCCGAGACCTGTCCCGGCCAACAGGTATAAACACATCTGCCCACTTGGAGTGGCACAAAGGAACAGTGCAAAGGGCAGCACAGCAGTGCCACTTCCAGCTGCACGTGCAGCTGCACTGACAGAGAAATTGCTGGAAATCCCATCCTTCCTAAACCTCTCTGATGCTCCCTAATTGGCTTGAGATTTTGGGAGGGCCACCAGCTCCTACTTACAATATTCAGTTTAAATATATACATATAGAATACATATAAAATTTTAATTGAATAGAAATAATTTTATAAAAAACCTACTATTTCAGTGAAAACACTGAAAGAGACAAAATGTTTCCTTTTGGGGGCAAATATAATTTGTACAAAGCTACTGCTGTTAAATAAATTTTGACAGCTGTCAGAAATGACAGCCAGTGGTACTTCCATTATTGCATCTATAAATCTATAGGAGCTTTTAAAAATTGAAGTATCCTCTTCCAGCTGTTGTAGTTAGGAGGATAAAATTACAGTTTGTACATTCTGCAGCTCTTAGTTCTGGCATTTAAGTTGCATATTCCTGGAGGGAGTGCAATGTGACAAAATTGCTTAGAAAACTATTGAGGTGGCAAATTATGTCCATTGGTAGTTATTCTGAAGACTTAATGGGAGGTAATTTCAAGTAATTTCAATTTCAAGTTGACCTCAGTTCTTTCACTTACAGGAAGAAAAAGCTCTATAAAAATTCATATTCTTGCCCAGAATCCCATTATTAAGATGAATCATAGAATGGTTTCGGTTGGAAGGGATCTTAAAGATTTAGTTTTAATTGTCCTGTCATGGGCAGGGACATTTTCCACTAGACAGATCACTCAAAGCCCATCCAACCTGGCCTTGAACACTTCCAGGGATGGGGCATCCACAGCTTATCAGGGAAACATGTTCCAGTGCCTCACCACCCTTACAGTAAAGAATTTCTTCCTAATATCTAATCTAAATCTACCCTCTTTCTATTTACAACCATTACTCCTTGTCCCATCACTACATGCCCTTGTAAAAAGTCCTTCTCTGGCTCTCTTGTAGGCTCTCTTCAGGTATTATGGAAAGCGCTATGAGGTCTCCCTGGAATCTCCTCTTCTCCAGGTTGAACAATCCCAGCTATCTCAGCCCGTCCTCATAGAGGAGACGTTCCAGTCCCCTGATCATCTTTGTGGACCTCCTCCACGTAGGGTCTCACAAGAGTGAAGTAGAGGGAAGAATCACCTCCCTTGATCTGCTGGCCACAGGTCTTTCCCCCTTTTTTAAAACTGTGGGCTATATTTCCCCTTTTTGCAGCTCCTGGGAAACTTCTAAACTTGGTTTTGGCCAGGATAGAGTTAATTTTCTTCATAATAGCTTGCATGAGTCTGTGTTTTGGATTTGGGTTTAAAACTGTGTTGATAATATAAGGATGTTTTTGTTATTGTTGACCAGTGCTTAGGCAGAGCCAAGGACTTTTCCGCCCATCACTCCACCTCACCAGCAAGTAGGCTGAGGGGTGCATGAGAAGTGGGTAGAGGATACAAGCAGGTCAGCTGACCTCAACTGACCAAAGGGTTATCCCATACCATGTGACATCATGCTTAGCAATAAAAAAGTGGGTGAAGAAGAAGGAAGGGGAGGAAGGACACATAGAGTGGTGGCATTTTGACTTCCTTGGTAACCGTTATGCATGATGTAATCCTACTTTCCTGAAGATGGCTGAACACCTGCCCTCTGCCCATGGGAAGCGGTGAATTAATTCCTTGGTTTGCTCTGCTTGTGTGTGTGGCTTTCACTTTCCCTACTAAACTTCCTTTACCTCAACCCATGAGTTTTCTCACCCTTACCCTTCCAGTTCTCTCCCCTACAGCACTAGGAGAAAGTGAGTGAGTGGCTGCTTGGTGTTTAGTTGCTGGCTGCAGTTACACCATGGCAGAACTTCCCCAGTCTGCCATGACTCTTCAGATATGATAGAATGGCTTAGTAACTTCATCTGCCAGTTCCCTCAAGACCCTTGGATGTATCTCATCAGGTCCCATGGATTTGTACACATTAAGGTTCCTTAGATGGTCTTGAATCTGATTTTCTCCTATGGTGGGCAGTACTTACCATGAATACAGCACATAGTTCTCAAGGTTAAGTGTTATCCCTTCCCAGAACAAGTAATTTTGCTCAATACTTGATTGCAAGATGTCTTTCTTTACTGCAGTATAGTATTTAGAAGGCACTGTTCTCATACAGCAAGGAAAAGTAGAGATGTCTGTGGAAAATGCTTTACTTCTTTTTTAAGAGAAGAAAAAAATCCATATCCAAAACGCAGCCAACGAGAACTACTTTAATAAGTCAGTGGTTGAGCATTCACAACTTAAATGGAAATCAATGATAACCTCACTTCTGAAAATCTCACCTTGCTCAGTGAAGCATAGCTAAATTGCATCAACCTCACCTAACCCAGTCATCCTTATATATTTGACCATGTCAGTGGAAGTAAGCAAATAATTAAAAGACGAAGTGTGCTGGTTTAAAAGTTAACCAGCAAGGCAAAATGAACTCAATTCAAAAGAGAGATTTATAAGTCAGAATAACAATTTATTAAAATAATGCAATAAGTACAAGTATACAGACAGACAATTGGTTTTAATCCACAAAACCCAAATGTACAAACCCAGCACCCTGGGGTATGAACAAAAATGGTGTACCTTGGCCCACCCCCCGAGTCCAAAGCAAAGGGAGAGGGAATAAACCTGCTGGTGGGAGAGCTGCTGCAGTCTGGTCAGAAGTGGTGATTGCAGTCCAGTTGAGGGTGGTGGTCTCAGCCTGGTTGGGAGCAGCGGTGGTCTGCTGTCTTCCTCTGGGTCCCACGAGAGAGCCTCAAGGCTCTGAAACTCCCAGTTATATACTCTCCAGTTCAGGCGGGAGTGCTCAGTCCCTCCCTCAGAGTAGGGAATTCCATAAAAGGGCATGCGGATGCTCAGTCCCTCTTCCATATAAGGGTATCAGAGGGGGGAATTCCATAAAAGGGTACAGGAACATCTTCCCACCTTGCAGGCCTCTACTGACAGCAGTTTTTGGGAAATGGCATGGAGGCTATAGAATACACAGTTTTGGGTTACACCCATCCAGTGATGAATTGGTCCCAGCCATTCTAACCAGGACACGAAGATACACTTATGAGTCTTTTTAATAAAGGTGCTTATCTGCCCTTACTGTAAAGAGCAGTTTAATTTATACCTGCTGATAATTGTCCATGAACTCAGATGCTACACTGAGAACATGCCTAAACTAGACTGAAAGTTGGCTACTTGACATAGTAGTTCATAATACTCCTTTTACATTAAAAAAGGGAAAAGTATCTTCTAGTTATTTTCAAGACATTGCAGAGGAAAATCAATTCCCTCATTGTGCTTTTACACTGGAACAAATCATCCATTCCTTTTATTGTTTCACTGAGGTTTTACTCTTTTACTGTTATCTCTCTTGCTATCTCTGTTTTAAGGTGGCCAGTATTTCCCAGTATTTAATTTGACAGTGTGAATGTGAGTATGGGAATGGGTGGTGAGAAGTGCTCTCCAAAGCTGAGCCATTTCTCTATTATGTCATGAGGCATATATTTTGTGACTGCCTTCCCTTTGCCATAATAGCCCTCCTCACTCCACCCAAACATCTCTGACTTACGTCTTCTCTTTCTCTGACAAGATATAGGTTAAAAAAAATATCTCTCGATTTACTAGTTAGCAGATGAATAGTGCTGAAATTAAAACTAAGAGGTTTAAGACAAAGTATCATGTTTCAACAGGCTAAAAAAGCTTGGACGTGCAATGACCTAGAATTATGATGTGAAAACATTAAGTAGCAACTAACTCATTTTCTGTTTTCATTACATTCAAGTTTGTTGCTGTTTTTCCTTACAGATATTCTTCACTTGTTTTTATTTATTTGGCCCCAGAGGTATCCTTTGAATGTACCATCTAGTGGGATGTAAGTGACCACTGGGATTTTTCATGGCTTTTTTATCTGATAAAGGCTACTAAACTACTGGAATCATTAGTCACACTACTCTAACCACAGAGAATCCAACCAGCACTCATGCAACATTGTGGTGTGCCCACCTGATGCAAGTGTACCTCATTTACAGAGAGTACAAAGTTGATCTAGCTTTGAAAGAGAGGCACTGAGTCACTGGACCTCTTCCTGGAAGCAATAAATCATGCACTTAGGTGGACATCAGCTAAGTACAAAACAACAGCTGAGGCTTGCCTTTTTCATTCACTCTCTTCAGATGACTATTAACTCAGCATAATTTAGGACTCTGAGAGAGGCAAAAGAGATTTACTAGAGGGAAAACATTTATGTAAGGAACATGACACATATTTTCTTAGTGAGTCAGTTCATTGATGCAGTCAAGCTAGTTTGTCACATCAAAAAATCAAGGGAGATGGGAAATCTTCCTTCTCTCTGGCTAGCTGTGTTTGCCTACTGGTTTTCTAGCAATGTGCACGTCACTTCTAATGGCAACAGAAGGTTCAAGTGCAATAAACAGACAAGGCAACGTACTTGTCTCTTATATTTTACTCTGTATGCTTTTTATTTTAAAATCTTACCATATATTACCAATAGATCAGGTTACTTTGCAACGCCTTTATTATATTTCTTCTCTTTAGTTTCCTACTAAAATTTAGTTGCTAGTTTATGGTGTAAGAGCCACAATTATAGAACAAATCCGAAAACAAAATATAGGGGAGATGTTCAATGCCTAAAAAGAAAGGAGAAGAGAAAGTCAGTGCAACCATGATATAGACCACTCTCTATGCAAATTTTGCTATCTGTTTGAGAACAATTTGTTCATTATGCAAAGTCATACAGCTGCTAAGATTTCAGCTCTTGTGACTGCTCATGGAGATCAGTGGGTATGACTGCCCCTTCATCGTTAAAGGTTCTTGACAGGGTGCTCTTATCCTACAAGTATTCTGAAACATTATTTCATAGCTGATTGTTTTATCAAAAATTCCTGTTAGGAAGTCACTTTTTTTTTCATAAAGGGGTAAAAAAACCCACCATAAAAACTTACAGTCAACACAAAACTGATTTTTGCTTGGGTTTTTTTGTGTGGTTTTTTTTTTTAGCACTGTGTAGCTGGTTTAAAAAGAGGCTTGCAACATTAATCCAACTCTACATGGGATATACACTTTCTCATCCTACAAACAACATTTCCATCCTTTTCTGATTTCTAGCCTGTTGTAACTAGATCTACAGCACTCAAAGCATGCTATGATCAAACTGGTTTTTGCAAATGCTTGTCCAATAGCAAAATATCACGCAACAACAATGTAGTGGTCTGTCAGGTAAATCAGTGGAATATAACACAGTTGCTGGTGTTGTCAAAAGGAATGACTGTTAAAAATAAAATTAAAAATATCAACACTTGATATGAAAGTTCCATATTCATATGAAGTACTCGTTTCATATTCCTTCACTCCCTTAGATCAAGGCCTTTGCTAGGGTAATTATAAGTGTTAAAAGTCATCAGTTTCAATTTTTTTTTTTTTTTTAATTAGGCATATTCAATTAGAAACTTGCACACAAAAGTCATTCCACTGGACGCTCTTAAACAGGTCAGCGGTGCTTAGCTGTGATGTTATTTATGGAGGGAAAAGAGGAGAGCGAGGGAGAGATGGTGAAAGCAGATTGCCTGGGAAAAGGCTTACCTCAAAACAGCCTGGAAAGAAGCACATGGGCCTGGGACCAGGGTGGAGGGGTGATTTCAGTCTTCATAGCCATTGGCTTAGGTGAAGTGTATTCGTTATGAGAATTCGTAGTTACTATACAATCATGAAAAGTACAGTATACCAAGTTCATACTTGACTCTAATGCTTCAGTTTGCTCAGTTATGATTTTCAACAGCACTTTAAACAAATGTCAGACTCACTGATGGATGAAAAGGAGAGGGAAGCTTGGGAATACTTGCTATAGGAACATGCTGTTATTTACATTTAAAACAGGGAATGTTTTAATAAAACAAGCAAGGAAACAAGAACTTATTGGACTAAATAAGTTCAAGGGTCCCTCTACATTTATCCAATACCCTCTTTATTTTATCAGTGGAATATTTTTCAATGGAATTGATTCTGAAAATGGTTGCATAACATCTGGTTTTTGCCTAAACATCACTCCATGGCTTTGATCAGACACTTGAGTCCGTTTGCCTTTTTCCTCCTCTTCATCCTGAAAGCTATGCCATCAAGATTTTAAGATGGCAAATCTCAGAAGAATAAAACACAGGCTTCATTAAATTTGTTAATGATAGATATTGTTTCTACAGGGATTGTCATCAGACTTTTCAAAAGTTAGAAGATTTCAACAGCGTATCATAAGATCAGCAAAAGCAGGAGTAAATGCACGAATATATAGACAAGAATATAGTGCAAACTCATTATATGTACAGATAGAAATCCAAAGGTGTGTCAGAACTGCTGAATTTTATACATAATTTAACAGTCTGCAGTCCTACACAGTTTGAACTATAATAAAACTGTTTGTAAGGGGGCGGGGTTGAATATCAACTTTGCTAAATGGAGTCTTGATGGAGAGAGCAAATCTTACTTGCAAATGGGTCAAGTTTGGAGTATGTTTCCTACCAATAAAGATAAGGGTAACATGCATTAAGGGAGCTGAAACATTTCTCTTTGACATTTTAAGCAAAATGCTTCATGTCAGAAATATGATTTTTTTGCAAATGCCTTGATTTTTAATTTTAAACCAGTAATTCATTTTAGCAGGACCAGTAGACATATGATAAAGCAAAAGGTTACTAAAAACTGAAAGAAACATTTTCGTTTGACTCAGAATTTTAATTGATACAAAGTTTTATTTTTCATTTTACTCAAAACCCTCCATAAATTCTGCTTTTGTATGACGTTAAACCCAATATTTTCTTGGTTTTGCTCTGTTATTTATTAAGCTTTATATGTAAAGATTTTGATTTATGTATTTTAACTGTGTACTGTATTGTACATGACAAAGTTTGTAAGAAGATTTAGTACCTCTTATTAGACGGATGGACAAGCTGACATACACCCACAATCTTCCTCAGACCATGTTTCAGGCATGAGATGGGTCAGAAAGCTCAACTGCTTTTTCTCCCCATGTACGTCATCTGGTTTAATAAGAGATATTTTATTGCATACAAAACCCTTTGCTTCTTATATCTTTGTTAATCCCAGCTTCGACAAGATCATCCCCACAAATCATGATACCTAGTGGGACTGCAAAAAATTAGAAGATTTGGGGGTTCAACATCTCAGATGCCTTCTTTCCAGTGATTTATATTTTTATTTACTGTGTTTTGCCCTCTCGATACTTATTCCCATTGCACTCATACCCTGGGAAGTTGTGTCAATAGAAAAAATATATATATTAAATTCCTTATTTTTTAATCTGGAGCATTTAGGATCCCAGGGATCTATCATTTCCAGCACTAGCAGGATGGTGTCAAAGCCATTATTACTTATGTGGTTATTCTCATAGTGACATTATAGGCTAAGGAAGCAATTCTAATTCCATTCCACAGATGAGAAAGTGGAGTCCACAGAGATCTCATGATTTGAGTTGTAGGAAACATCTATGGCATTGTAAGAAACCAAATGTAAGGGCTGTGATAATTTTCTCCTTTTATAACTCAATTGTAGGACCACAAAAACTAGTTGCAGGCTAAAGCTGAGTTAGGTAGTTTATGCCCCCTACATTTACTTCCTTTGCATTTGTACATGACAATTGTAGATGCAAAACATTTTGATACATTTTACAAAAATATTGTAAAACTTTTTCTATTTCTACCTTCAGAATGAGTGGGAATTTTTTTGATTTAATTAAAAAAAAGTCATAATGTTAACAATAGTAAAACAATAACTTTTTTAGTTCAAAGTCAACTGTATTCACATGACCTTTAAAAGTAGTGGTCAATCATTTGCACTGCCATTGGTATGAGCTCAGAATTTGGAGGATGGATGTTAATGTCTCACCCACCAAAACTCCTTGTCATCCATTAAATGGAGAAGCTCCTCCAAGATAGGTAGGTAGAGCCTTTGGGAAGAAATCTTACTTCCACATTTCACAGGAAAACATGAGAAGTTATGCTGTCATGTTAAAAAACACACACTCTTAAAAAAAGAAAAGGCAGGATGAAAACTAATTTATCTGTGTTACTGAAGTGTAACTTAATGGGACACATGAAAAAGGTTATTTTAAAACAAGACACATCATATTCCAAAAACTATGAGTACATAGGTTTGCTATGCCAGTATGACATTCTTGAGGACAACTAATGTATCATTTAAGTATTTTTTTTCCAAAGAAGATTTAGTATATGTTTCTGTGCTGTACATATATTCCTGTGCATCAGCTGTCTCTTCTACTGGGACAAATATTATACTGCCAAAAACAGTCAGCAACAGTCAGAAAAAAAAAAAAAAGGGAAGAAAGGTATAGAATTGTTTTCGCCATTAAACTAATTCCCAGTGTAAAAAGAAGAGTAATAACAATTAGAGATGCAAACATTCTTCTATGAGCCAATGAGATGCCTGCAAATCCAAAAACCAAGTATATTTGAGTACTAGTTGTTTTGTCACAGGCCGAGCGAGTCATCTGCCGTCATTCTGCAGCAGTGTCAGTGTGTGGGGCCATGGGATCCTACAAAGGACTGAGAGGCAGGAAGGCAAAGCCTACTGTCATGTCTTTGGTGTTTCAGAGTAATAGAGGACACAATAAAAAACGGTGGACTTCAGGACTTTTTTCTCCATCCTCTCTTGCTGCTATCTCTCCTTCTGATCATATCTTTGTTCATATACAGATAACTCCAAAAACAAGGGAAAAGCAAAGCAAAAAGAGCCCCAAACCACACTTATTCAATCTATGCTTGCATTCAACCTTTTATGAAACTCTGCTATCCACATCGTTCAGCATCTGATTGAGCTTGTGTTTCAGATGGTGCCTCCTATTGTTTCAGATATCTTACTCCAAAAGGGTCTTAATTGCTTCTTCTGTTTATTTGAACAAAAAGTAGCATCCCATCTGCATACCAGATGCAACAGGACTGAACCCAACTTTTCAACAGTATTTTAAATGAAGTACTCGTTTGCTAGTAGCTGACAGCCTGTAGCAGCAGACTCAAATTCTGGGAAGATAAATGAAGTAACTCAATTGCCCCCTGGCAATTATGCTCTGCAAAAGTGCACACAAAAGGGAGAAAAATTAGCCCAATCCATCCCTAAACTGAATGCAAATTCAAGATCTAATTAAGTGCATCAGTTTCCTGGTGTGGGTGTTTCCTTCATGTTCTTAGCTTGATTCTAAGCTAAACAACATTTCTAAATAGTCATTACAACTCAAAAGGCTTGCTTTCCCAGTAAATCATTTCAGAATAACTATTCTTATGAAAGTTGTCTGTCTTTCTCTCTATATTTGTGTGCACAGATTGCATCATTACACACACTGGCCAGTAAATATTGTCTTTTCGGAGTAAATCTGGGTAGAAGAAAATTACTTCCTCCTGTAACTTGATCATAAAGAAATACGCATTTTCTGTGTCAGTTTATGATCAAAATATTTCAATGTTTTTATCAGGTACATTAGAGAAATGTACCTAGTCACCTTGGCAAACAAGGCTTTTCCCTGCGAAAAATTCAAAACCAACAGACATAACCTAGGAAGAGTACATTGAAGAGTATATCTATTTAGTCTGTTCTGCCCGAGCCAAAAGCTACAATAGACTTCTATTGGAGCAATTGGCTCTGACCTACCAGTCAAAATTCAGAACTTTCCAAAAAAAAATTATAATAAACCCTAGAAGGTTATGGTGCCACTTGCAATTTTGGTGGACGGGCATTTTCTAAGGAAAATGTCATCTTAACCCTTTCTGTTTGGGGTTTCATGGCTCTTACAGCTCAAACTACAGCAAAGTTATTTGTCATGAAACTGAACTTACAGTATATACTCAGAAATGTGTAGGGCTTTACTTCCATGAAAGTAAATAAACAAGAGCATTAGAAGTGGATCTATTCTTCCCAAAGAAATAAAAAAAACCTGTCCCAGTAGATAGACTTGAGTCGCATTTAAAAACCTATTTCAGGACTCAATTGCAACAATTGACATTAGTAAATCCTTTGTTAAGCAATTTCTGTTTTAATAAGCTAACCAGATCAGCCTCTTTAAGAGGCATAAAAGTCAAAGTTTTTGAGTAGTCCAGGCTCCTAAATGGAAACATGCTTTGAAATATTTTTATGCTTTGTCAACAGAAAAGAATTCAAAAGTAAAAGAATTATAAATAAAACATCTCAAGCACTCATGACAACTACAGTAAGCCAAAATAACCTTAATCCTGGCACATGGATAAAATTTACCATAGTCCTACATTAGTGCTACTAGGTACACTTTGCAGAGTTTGTACATACCTCCTAAACACAAGTCCTGCTACTCAGGTGACAGGAATGCTGTTAACCAAATATAACTCTCTAATTAGAAAGTGGAGATGAGACCGTTTTTTAAGGAAGAAATCTGCCCCAGTCAGGAACAGTTTACAGACACCTCTGCTTTCCATAAAATGCCATCTTATTTGTATTTCTAACATTTCTGGTTACAATTCCCTTGCAAATAGGAATTCTTCAAACCAAGAAAGTCTGCAGTTCTTTAGACAGAGGCTGTACAGAGAAAAGGGTTTATTTTAATCCCTGACTTTTGATTTAAATTGATTTCCTAAAAATGGTGTTTAACCCCTGCAATGCTGGATCAATTAGCCTTAAAGTTTGACAAGTTTCCTCAGTTTAGCAAGAAATTCTGCAGCTGGAAGTGCTACATGCTTTCTGACAGAACTCCTTCACCAGGGAAATGCCAGATTATTAAAAGTGGAACTTTGATTGTGGTGGAAAACAAAGAAAATAAGGTGCTATTAACAATAAACTTTCATTTCTTATAGAAAGTGAAGGAGAGAGGAAGGAATCAGATAAAGATGCACATCAACCTAGGGGCAGAAGATGCTCACAAGTCCACATCTCTCAACTCCCTTATAATTACAAGGAAGCAATCTATACTTAAATTGGTCACTCTAGAATCCACAGTCTCACCCAAAGTACAGTTACTTTAACTCCTATTATGTGCCTGCAGTTCAAGGCTGCAAATATCCACAGCACTGGAGTGCTGTCTCTGGAGTCTCAGCCCGGAATTACACCTTGCTTTCCCAAACACTGAATATCATAACCATTGGGGTATTTGCTTTTTTAACAGTACAGAAGAAGATAAAGACAGGTAGAAATTTCTCACCCTCGTGAGAAGTCAGCTCCTTGCCTAGATTTTACCTACTTCCCAGCTTCTGGGTAGATGCTTTCAAGTAACAGAGACACACGGGACATTTCTGTCTCCCAAAATACTAAGAACTCTCTGAAACTTGTTTTTTGGACCAGTATCTTTATCATCTTTACAAAATATGGTATCTAATCACAAGAACATGGATTTGCTTATTGCCACAGCGTATGTCAGAGTTTTGGTTTCAATTTTACTGAAACAAAGTTGTTCACTCCCATCCCAACAGAAATTAAAAGCAGCAGAAAGGCAGGATATTCAGGCTAACACTGACTTTTCCTCACTGAGGCCAGACATATACTTTTTAAGAAGTACTAATAATAATGGAAAAGGGCTGTGTGAGACGGACCTAATCACTTCTTTCTCTTCCCAATAGACTCCTTTCCCAATAGCAGGGGCCCAAGCTCCTTCCTGGTTTTAAAAACGTGAATGTTTGTAAGACCACAAAGGTGCAAAATATCTGAAAAAGGAGGCAAATAGAGATTAGATTTTCACCTGTATGTAAATTAAGGAACAGCCTTGCAAGATGAAGCAACATCTGCTGAGTGAACTATTTATTTTTGCCATCTAACAACATTGGATCTGCCTGTACAAGCACAGAACCTCTCTCGTCATTGTGATCAGGTTGCACTGTGGTTGGACCTGAGGTAGAAAAGCAATTGTTAATTAAATTAAAGAGAACACATGGAGTCAGAGCATGTAGTGCCCTCATTCATCACTCGGACTCACGGAAAAAGGTGCTCCTAGCTGTTATAAAACATGTTGCAAACCGGTGGTTAACTCCCATGTCAGAACCTTGACAGA